GTTTGTTTTAATAAGACAGTCCTTACCTGGAGCACTCGTCAGGTAGGGTGAGCAGATTCTGCTCCGTTTTGAGGTGAGAAACAGCCCTTTGGACAAAAGCGTTGGAAGGCAGTAATATTAAAGAAAAACATTTTCTTGTAAAGGCCAGTATGAAGAGCAGTCGCCTCACAGGGATTCACAAACTAGTTAGAGAGACTAATAAACCCAGATTCATTGGTTAAATGTGTGATTTTTAAAGTTTATGTTATACAATATGATAACGCCCAGCCTTGCCTCATAGTTGCCTCAAAATTTGCATAAAATGAAAACTGAATTTCTAGTAGTGCACTGAAGAAGGAAACGGTCTGATTTGAGTTGCTTTCATGTGCATGCGGGACAGTTGGGATCAGGGCGGTTCACTCGCTCTGTGTGCTTTCATGTGCTTTTACTCGGATTCTGAGAACACACTCTGGATCTGTTCATGATCTGATTTGTTGTTGGACAAATCTCTTGTTTGACTTCCACCAATCAATGCTCCTGACGTCACAACTCTGGTCATTCGTGCGGCTTCCAGGATTCCCATTTCTCCGACTTGAGTGAACCACAATGTTCAGCGTGCAACCTCTCCTCGGAAAGCTGTATTTACAATTTATCCGACGCCACATGAAAGCAGCATAAGGCAACAAACAAAAAACAAGTCAGTCTGAAGCGTGATGTTACAAAGTAGATGATAAACCTGTAAATGAGGATTGATCTGTCATCACATTTACCTCTTGCAATATTTCCTGTTTACTTCTCTTTGCCTGTCAGCTAATCTTTCAAAGTCATCATCTTTTTTTTTTTTTTTTTTTTTTTATAAAGCTAACAGCCACGTTTTGAATAACTTTTTATCTCTTTGGAATATTTTCGCCCTGGTATGATGTAACAATTTACCTTGCTAACATTATTATCTCTACCCAGGCACACACTCTGCAGGCAATTTCAGGGTCTACCTCGCCAACCCATGCCCAAACTGGAATGCATTATAGCTCGCTGGTGGGAATGGGGCTTTTGTTTATTCGCGGTTCCATTTTCTTGGTCCTTAGCTGTGTTTCCGTACACTTCCTCGTCCCCTCCCATTCCCCTTTCCTTTTTAATTATCTTCCAGGACCTTGGGCACTCGCTCAATTCCAACATTCAATTCTGCGGGAGATTACATTTTGACACGGCTCAGTCATATTATTTGATTTCAATTTCATAGCCAGCCCAGCAGCCCCAGTCATGAATTCGGCGCGGGGTCGGGTTGCATAATGCGCAATTTATATATTTATTTTAGATTTTTTTTTATTTTACTGAAAGGCTCTGAGGACAATTTGTGAAGAATACATAGCTTTGTCTCTTTGGGTGTCATTCCAGGTCAGTTCCGGAGCACCTTTTGCAATTCACTTTCTATATACGCTGTTGTTTCGGTACGCGAATAACAAGCAGGCACAGAATCCCAGATACAAGAATAAATAAAAACAAAAAAAATAAAAACGCAGGGAATTGACATGCCAACCTTGTCGCCGCGTAATAAAATGATTTGTATCCTAATCTATTTCTGCCAGTCAATGAGGGTTGCTTGTGCTTTATCACGGCATCATGGCTATAACATCTGTCAGGGCCCCCCTCAAATGCATAATGCAATAAGAAATGGAGCGGGATTGGGAGCGCGGTTTCATCAGTTTGCCTTGTGCTTCAGTGAGCTCATTGCAATGCGTCGCTGCTAAAAAAAAAAAAAAAAAAAAAAGTCGCAGAACACACAAGAGGAAGTGGGAAACTGTAGTGAAGAGAGCTAAGTCTAGTGTAGCGTTGTAGAAGATTTATTTACAGGAGTCGAAGGGGTTAGTCAAATATCTCACGGCGAGTTTTGTTTTGTAATTGTTTTTAGACTTGCAATTTGTTTTACTTATTTTTTTTAAAGGGACAGTCCGGGGTTTTGGACATAGGAACTCATTTCCTAGTGAGCCAGAGTGTTGGAGACGTGTGGAGACACTTTTTAAAATATTCTGTCCAGTCCTTGTATTTACAGAGGTCATTGATGCTAGGCTAGTGCATGTCAATGGCCATAGTTAGCCTGCCACTAAAAACAGTCTTACACACTCCGCAAAACACCCGAAACAAATCTATTATTACACCAGACTGTCGATGTGAATGTCTGTGTCGATAGAATAATTTTAGAAGTAAAACCAACCGTGTATTGGAAGGATTTATGTTTGAGCAGCAGCGAGTTGTACTTTTTGATAGAAAGCTTGGCAGCGGCGGACTGATATATGAGAAAATAGTCCCTCAACATGCGACGATTCATGCGAGGCAAGGTTAGTTTTAGTTCAAAGTTTATTCTATCAACACAGACATTTACGTCAACAGTCTGGCGTAATAATAGATTTGTTTCTGGTGCTTTGTGTTTTTAGTGTTAGACTAACTATGGCCATTGACATGCACTAGCCTAGCACCAGCGAGTGTCTCCAACACTTTGACTAACTAAGAAATGGGGTCCTATGTCCAAAATTCCAGACTGTCCCTTTAAATTCAATCAGAAACCAGAGTTTTGCCTTCATGGTAAAGCGAATAACTACAACTACCATGCAAACCACTCCTGATTATCAGACAATAAAACACTTGATAATAATTAGACGCAGATGTTGAACCTGGTATTTTCAATTACTGACTAATCTCACTATATTCCAACATAATTTTGCATTTTATCTATTTTAATTTTAGATGCCCCCCATCTCATCTGTATTAAATATTATTGGACAACAGAAAGCTGTGACGTCAGTAGGGCAGTGGGTTTGCTCTGTTTGACCTTGACTGAAACCCTCATTTCTTTAAAGCCACAGATACAATTTCAGTAAAAGTATTTCTCATGGAACTTTGACCTCATTGTTATGTTATTCCGACTCCCTTATGAGTACGATACTGCGAGCTGATTCCCCAAATGGAGCTTGTGATTATTTGCCCCTCAAGTGTAATCAGTGCTTTCTACTCTGCTTCATTCCTACATTTCTTTGCTGTTTAATATATTGCTGCAGTTTGCTAATGATTAAACCCTATGATGCAAGTGCAGTTGAAATACCAATTTCACGGCAGCGTCAGCTTGAAAAAGTTAACAGACTTGTGTGCACAGTTACTGCTTATAAAAAAAAAGACTATTTATGACGTTACAAGTGGAAATTATGCTACAAACGTTTCAAGAAGAAGTTGACAAAGTTTAACCATCATAAACTTAGACTGCTGCCGTTACTATTTCTATGTGGATGTGAATAAACTTGATTTCTGGTTGATTTATGTAAAACAAAATATATACAGTATTGTCTGGGTCATCCTTCATTGCATGGAATGTTCCACAGTATGACATGAAACAGCTCTACCTTGCATTTATTAAATTACAGGTGGTTTTATAGCCCAAAAATACCCAGAAAAACAACATTCTGACTGTGAGCAGGGTCACCTCTCCCAGAGTCCTGCAGGAGTCAATTTTTGGAGACCTGCACCCGCTGTACCCGCGCAGTACAACACCACACCCGCCCGTTAACCCGTGATCATATCAAAGTTAAATCTGCACCCGCCCGGACCCGTTAACGTCTCGCCCATGCTCATGATAAATCGGGGTCAGCTCATTAGTCCAACAGCCCAGTAGTCCAGGACTGAACCAGGACTGAACCTACGCCGTGTCAGTAGTGGATTATAAATATATACACACCGTAACTGCCGAGCCGATTGCCAGGACTACACCGAGACTGAACCGAGACTGAACCAGGACTAAACCAGGACTAAACCAGGACTAAACCAGGACTGAACCAGGACTAAACCAGGACTGAACCTATGCTGTGTCATTAGCAGATTATAAATATATACAGGCCGCAACTGCAGAGCCGATTGCCAGGACCGAACCAGGACTGGACCAGAACTGGACCGAGACTACACCAAGACTCAACCAGGACTCAACCAGGACTCAACCAGGACTCAACCAGGACTCAACCAGGACTCAACCAGGACTAAACCAGGAGTGCAGCTGCTAAGCCGATCACCTCCGCTGTTGGTTTTACGTAATAAATACTCTAAAGTCACTCTCTAAGCCTGGTTTGACATCGTTCCAGGAAAATATGGGGGAATGGCCCTTGTTTCCAAAGCAACGGACGTCCTGGACACGCGTCAAGTATTTTTCTCCCTTTTGTCGTTCATTCGTCGCATATCCGCTCGTAAAATTCCAGAACGTTAAAACCGGCCCGTTTCAGCAACTATTTGCGGTGCAGGACTCTGGCCTCTCCACAGATCGGACCCGTATCTTGATCTGGTTTGGCCTCCATGGAGATAGAAATGTTTAATGCCACACTGTGAAACATCCAGACAAAGCAATAACATCTGCATGAAGAAAAGCATTTGACGGACCCACCACCAGAAAAGTTACATAATGCATCTTTAAATTACAATGTTAACCTGAAGTACTGCACTAGCCACTCCACTGGAACTTTTCATAACTTTCAGAGGCCAGAGCAAAGTACACACACATTAGAATGCTAGTAACACACTTCCTGTTTTGCGGAGAATATAATTGGATCAGGAGCACCCAAACTTTTTTCCTCTACGGGCTAAAATGAATATGTATTTGTAGTAGTATTTGTAGTTTGTCTGCAAAGATATTTACAATTTAAATAGTGTTTAATTATTGTGCTTTTAAGGGGGTAAACTGGTATTGGTTTTCTTTCATTTCTTAACACTCTTTTCTGTGTGAAATTAAATCAAAATAGTTATTTCTTACAAATCTCAGCAAACCTTCCAGGGCCAAATTAAAGCCCTTGGAGACTCATTCTCACTCTAAGAGCTGCTGTTACTGGGGCATTTTACTTAATTACATGGAAAAAAAAAAATCTGCTACAACCGCTTTATAGGGCGAGTCAATTTAGTGTAATATAGGACCTTTTAAAGTAATTTTTAAGTTTTGGAGCAGTTGTATTTTTCATTGGCGTTTTTAAACCCTGTGTTCCGTGTGTTTGCAGATGGCTGGGACAAATTCTCTCATCCTTACAAAAAGAAAGAATTTGGAAAATGGGAACTGACTATTCCTCCTCTGAACGACAACTCTCCTGCGGTGGCTCACGGCTCCAAACTCAAG